TAGCCCATAAACAGAGACCAAAAGAAAGCAGGAGTAGCTATGCTTATATCAGACAAAATAGACTTGACATAAAAAGCAGGGAAAATAGACAAGGAAGGTCATTATTGCTAATTCAGCAAGAGGAAATAATTCTTACACTCAATATCAGAACACCTAAATATATAATGCAAATATTAATAAACTTAAAGGGAGATATAGAATCCAGTAGTAGTTGGGGACTTTAGCACCCTATTTTTTAAAATGGATGTATTTTCCAGACAGTAAATCAACAAAGAAAGGTTAGAGTTAAATTGCACCTTAGACCAAGTGAACCTAAGAGACATCTACAAATGACATTCAACTGCTAAATACACATTTTTTTCTCATTAGCACAAAACATTCTCAAGGCAAGATCATATGCCATAAAACAAGTCTCAAAAATAAAAGCAAAAAACCCCACCACCAACAAAAATGAAACCATATCAACTATCTTTTCTGACCACAAAGCAATAAAATTAAAAATCAATCCACAAAAACTTTGGAAACTATACACAAGGAAATTAAACAACTTACTTTTGAACAACTAATGGAAGAGATCAAGAAGGAAATTAAACAATTTCTTCAAACAAATGAAAATGGAGACACAATATGCTGAAACCTATGGGATACAACAAAAGCAGTGCTAAGAAAGAAGTTTATAACAATTACCACTTACATCAAAAAATTACAAAAATCTCAAGTAAACAACTTATCACTACATCTCAAGGAAATAGAAAAATGGGAAGAAACCAAACTCCAAAGTAGTAGAAGGAAAGAAGTAATAAAGATGAGAGCAGAAATAAATGAAATGGGGATTACAATATAAAAAAGCTTAAAAAGAGTTCGTTTTTGAAAATAGAAACAAGATAAACCCTAAGCTAGACTAAGAAATCTCTAATAAATAAAAGCAAAAATTAAAAAGAAATATCATAGAAATAAAAGATTATTACAGATTATTATGAACAATTCTATACCAACAAATTTTACAAACTAGAAGAAATATACCAATTCATATATACTTTACCAAGGATGAATAATGAAGAAATAGAAAACCTGAACAGAAAAAAAAGAAAACCTAAATAGGCCAATAATAAATAATGAGAAGATAGAATCCAGTAATAAAAGTCTACCATCAGTGAAAAGCCCACTGCTGAATTATATCAAACATTTAAAGAAGAACTAATAAGAATTCTCCTTAAGTTATTCCAAAGAAATAGAAGACACATACATGGATACTTCCAAATATATTCTACCATGCCAGAATTATCTGGATGGAAAAGCCAGATAAGGACACAATACTCCCCCCCCAACACACACGCTCACACATTCATTCTGCAGGACAACATCCTTGATGAACACAGCTAGAAAGATCCACCCAAAATATTAGCAAACTGAATCCAATATCACCTTTAGAAAATTATTCCTCATGAAGTGAAATTCATCCCAGGGATGCAAAAATGGTCCAGTATACACAAATCAATAAATGTAACACTCCACGTCAACAGAACGAAGGACAAAAACTATGTGGTCATCTCAATAGATGCAAGGAAAGCATTTGATAAAATTCAACCTCCCTTTATGATAAATGCCCTGAATAAAATAGTATAGAAGAAATGTATAGAAGAAATGTATCAGGGCCAGGGATTTAGCTCAGTGGTTCCAGCGCCTACCTCACAAGTGCAAGGTCCTAGTACCAAAAAAAAAAAAAAAAGTATCTCAACATAAGAAAAACTATAACAAGTTAACAGCTAACATTATTGTGAATGGGCAAAACCTGAAATATTCTGAGTTCCTTAACAAGACAAGGATGCCTACCTTCACCACTTTAATCCTACATAGTGTTGTAAGTCCTAGCCAGACCAGTCAGGCAAAAGAAGGAAATAAAGAGCATCTAAATCAGAAAAGAAGAAGCCAGACTGTCATTGTTCTCAGATGACATCTTATATATAGAAAACCCTAAAAATTCCACCAAAAATCTATTAGAACTAATAAATTCAACAAAGTTGCAGGATACAAAATCAACATATAAAAATCAATGGCATTCCTATATGCCAATAGTGAATTGTCTAAAGTAGAAATCAAGAAAGTAAGCCCAGTTACAATAGTTAAAAAAATATGTAGGAATAAATTTAACTAATGAAGTTAATGACCTATACAATGAAAATTATAAAATAATGGTGAAAGAAATTAAAGAGGACACAAGAAAGTGGTAAGGCATCCTGGATTGGACAAATAATATTGTTAAAATGTCCATATACCCAAAGTAATTTACAGATTCAATGCAATGGCTATCAAAATATCAATGACATTCTTCATAGAACTACATAAAACAATGCTCAAATTTGTATGGAACCACAGAATACCCTTTTTACCACAAAAGTCCTTTTTAAGCAAAAATAATAAAGCAGGAGGCATTACACTATCTGACTTCAAAACATAATACAAAGCTGTAATACAAAGCATAATACAAAGCATAGTAGAGGCATAAAAGCAGACAGATAGACTAATAGAACAGAAGAGGGGCCCTAGAAGTGAATCCATGTGCTCATAGCCCACTGATTTTTGACAAAGGTGCTGAAAGCATGCATTGGAGAAAAGACAGTCTTTTCAATAAATGGTGCTGGAAAATCGAATATATACATGCAGAAGAATAAAACTAGACATTTATCTGTCACCAGTTATAAACAATTCAAAATAGATCAAAGATTTAATGTAGGACTGAAACTATGAAAGTACTTAAAGAAAACAGGGAAAATTCTTCAGGACATTGGAATGGGCAAGGATCTTTTGGATAATATCTTTCAAATCCCAGGAAACAAAAGTAAAAATAGACAAATGTTATGACATTTAACTAAAACCTTCTGCACAGCAAAGGAAACTATCAACAGAATGCAGAGACAGCCTACAAAATTGGAGATATTTGTAAATTACCCATGTGACTTGGGTGATATCCAGACTACACAAGAATTCCTAAAATTCAATTGCAAAAACCAAAACAAAACAAAGTAAAAAACAAAAACATTAAAAATTGGTCAATAGCTCTAAATAGACATTTACCAAAAGAAGACATACTTGTACAATTGGCCAACAAGCATGAAAAAGTGAATATCACTAATTATCAGCAGTGAGTTATCACCTCACCCTAACAAGAATGGCTATTAGCAAAAGGACTAAAAAATACAAGTCCTGGTGAGGGGACAGAGTAAAATGAACTCTCACTCACTATTGATGGGACTATAAATTAGTATAACTATAATGAAAAACAGTAGGGGGTTCCTCAAAAAATTAAAGCTAGAGCTACCTTATCATCCAGCATCCCAATACTGAGATATAGCCAAAGGAAGTGAAAACAATATGTCAGAATATTTGCACTCCAATGTTCAGTGTAGTACTATTCACAGTATTCAAGAAACAGAAAAAACCTAAGTGCCTATCTACTGTTGAATGGATAAACTATCCATAGTAGATACCATTTTCCTACAAAAAAAGGATGAAACCCTGTCATTTGTAACAACATAGATGTAACTGGAGATAATAACAGAAAAAAGAAAGGTGGCAGGAGGGAGTGTTGGAAGACTTAAGAAAGAAATTGAGAAAGGTGAAAGAAGGAAGAAAGAAAGGGGGAAAAGCAACAGCCAGTAGTAAACGTTTCAAATAATGGAAAAATCTCTACACAAAAAAAAGAGATGGATGGAGGGAGGAAGGAGGAAAAGGAAAGGAGAAAAAAAAATGAATCAAAGAATGGAAAGGAATAAATACGAGAAAAGGAAAAAAAATGAATCAAGATGTATGATGTATTCCAATATTTACTGCCAGAAAAAGATTCTACATGTTCTCACCACAAAGAAATGATAAATGTTTGAAGTAATGGATAAGCTAATTACCCTGATTTGATCATTATACAATGTATATATGTAACATAAACATTATGTACTATAAACATGTAATAATAAGAAAAATGACAGGATGTTTCTCTTCCCTCCCTTCCCTCTACACTACATTCCTCCCAGGGTTAGGAATTTAAAAAATGACAGTTAAACTTAATTGTGAGGGGCAATATTTAAAAAATGATAACTCAGTTTATTTTAAATCTAGAGTTACTCTTGTAATGATTCTTTAAAAGATGGTTGTTTTTATCTCCACTTTTGAGTTAAGACATTAATTCCTACATAAGCTAAAAAGAAGTAATAGAGCTTAAAAACAGAAATAATCCTACTACAAGTATTAGATTATAATTAGATATTATTTGTCTCAATTACCCCCCACCCCAATTTTGTTTGCTGTCTCAGGGAGAGGGTGGGTTTCTAAAAAGAGATATGGAATGTGGCAGAAAATCAATAAATGAGGGTGCAAAGTGACAATTAGGACGAATAGGTTCGGTTCCATTGCACAGTAGGGTGACTCTAATTAAAAATAATGCATGGACTATTTCAAAGCAGCCAGAAAAGGAGTTTACATGATCTTACCACAAAGAAATGATAAATGTTTGAAGTAATGGATAAGCTAATTACCCTGATTTGATCATTATACGTGTATACATGTAACAAAATATCACATTGTACCCCATAAATTATGTGTCAATTTTAAAAGTTAACAACAACAAAAGAGAAAATCAATTAGGTAAAGCCTTTTGTAAAATTATTTTCTTTTATATATAATTTCCAGAGGAACTACAAACAAAACTCAAAACTAAGATAGAAAAGATAGCATATCTTGTTTTTCTAATGCAAATTTTAAAAAATAAGGGAAAAAATGTTTACTCTGCTGAGGTTATATTGCTTTAGCTTTTAGTAAAAATCAAATGCATTTGTTAGATTCATAGTATTTTTGGAATACAGATATAATCTAGGTATACATTTTTATTCATATAAACTAGTTTTAGACAAGTTTAAATTATGAAGTATTAACAAAAAAGAGGAATTTGAATTATATTGAGAGGACAAGAAAATAACATGTAAAACCAAATTAAAATGAAAACTTACCAACTGTTTCGTGATCGGTGTGATTTAGATATTTTTTACATACATAAGGAAAGGTGGACTCACAATCCCTACTCCTCCAGGCAGTTGGCATAAATGAATGAAATGTTCCACAGTGATATTCAACAAATGGATCAAAATGGATTTCTGAAAATACAATGTGTGTGTTTAATGTAAGTTCAATACACACTAAAATGAAGTTTTAGTATCAGGGAATACTTAGCTTTGGCACAGTTAGTGAATCCTATAAGACATTGTTATACCTATGATTTTGCAGTTAAAATCCAGGCATATGAGTTAAATGATTTTCCAAAGTTGCAAAGCACTATTTTATTGTTTTAAAGATGAGGATTATTTACCAATCTGTTGTTATTTTTAAAACAGCAGACCAAACTTTGGGTGTGACCCAAATTTCACAACTTTGGCTGAATAGCTTACTTTCCTGGCCTCTCCCTTCTTGTTGGGATGAATTTCCCTTAAAGTAATTCAGAACAACATGCCTAATATCTATGTGAGAAATGCTGCTGTTTATGGCTGCAGGATGACGTCACCTGCCAAAGGTAAGTAAAGCACTGCCGATGGGGTACCTGGATACAAATTCAGATAGCTCAGCGGTGCTCCATCGGACCACTGCCAGCCAGCATGTGGATCCAGCTGGTTCAAACCTATCCACACTTCCACTGCTTCATGGCTCATGTGCTCTGAAAGGAAAATTATGGAGCTTCAAAAATAATTCAATGTTACATTTTTCATTTTACCCTATTCTTGGATCATGGAATCATCAATTAATCCCAGTCAGTGAAAGAAAGGGTTTTGGGTACTACAGAGAATCCGACAGTCTCCCAAAGCTTCACTGACAGCATTTCTTAGCTTGAAGGGCTTCATGTGAGTGTCCAGAAATATTGCCTTTCAGTAGTTCTCAATCTCTTCCAGGGTGTGTGGATAAAATTTTGAATCCATTTTATTTTCATGAACTCATGAACTTAAAGAGTGTTAGAAGGAGGAGGAAGTTTCGGGGGTTACTCCCCAAAACTGAGAAGAGACAAGTCTTTAAATTTAAGAAGGTGTGTAGGGACAGGGAGGGCCACTGGGGAACTATCTGGCCAAGAGAAGCAATGTGGTCCAGTATCAAGAGTGGTCTCCAGCAAGTGGGGACCACAGCCATACACTGTACAAACTTGAGGCAGCTTCTACTACTGCACTTTTGGTGGGAGAAAGTTACATGGCTCTGTGGCCCGTGTTCCTAACCACTGCACCACAGCGATTTCCAGCTTGATTCAGCTCCATTGTTGTTACAGACGCTATAGACATGCAGGGACATATTTGTGCAGAAAAATGTGGTCATCAAAATTGTAGAATTATGGGAAGTTTTCCTTTGATTTTTCTGTGTCCCTGAATTTAAATATTTTTTCTAAATATGTACTAGTAGTGTAATAAAATTTGACAAAGAGCCAGTGTCTAAATTTTAATGAGAATGGGCAATTTTGTGATACTCTCAAAGGTTGCCATTTCATTATTTATTCCATAGAGGACAGCATTGTTTTTTTATAGTTCATCTGTTTCAGAACTCACTTTATTTTGAGCCAGACACAGAAACCCATCCTGAGACTGAGATCCCTGTAGGGATTATAAATAGGTTGTCTCTATGTCCCAGCTTCCCTAGGAAGCTCATGGTTTATGCTGATAGTCTGAGAATAATAATTAATCACAGCTCCTTTCACTCTCAAGAGTCTTAGTTTGCATGATAGACCATGAGTACCAGGACATGAGGTCAGTGTATTCACATAAGAAGGCTGCAGCATCCTCAGCAGACAGTTCAATACAATAGTGGAAAACTGGAGGAACCAAAAGAGAAGAGACCCCAGAAATCACTAAACAGAAACAACATTTCATGTATAGGCCCCATTTCCAAGTTCCTGTGGTATTAACATGAAATCTCGTCCTAATATAGATTCAATTACTGCTTTCAATACCAAGTGTTTGATTAAATCACTTAACAGGTCTTGTAATGACAAGGGTGGATTGGAAGATGCAGTAACAAAATTTCCAGGGCAAATTTTCCACATTTCATAACCAGGTTAGCATCAGATGATATTTTAAAATAATCTTATTAAAATGTTAATTAGATTCTGGAGTTATTTTGAACACTGGTTGTACAATTGTTTTATTAATTCACATATAATCACTCTGTAATTTATAGTCTGCATTTAAAGGTATAGAAATAGTTAATTTACCTTTATAACTAAATTGGCCTATAATACTTTAATAACAAATTCACACACAAATGCCTACAAATGTTTCTTGGCATTCACGACGCTTATATAATTTCTTATACCATATTTAATGTTCACCAGTGATTAGCAGGAAACATTATAATGCTATTCTCATCATTAAAAATACTTTGGTAGCTGGGCATGGTGTCACATGCTTGTAACCCCAGCACTCTAGATGGCTAGGGGAGGAGGACTGCAAGTTTAAACACAGCCTGGGCAACCTAGTAACTTAGCAAGAGCTTGTCTCAAAGTAAAAAATTAAAATAAAAGGCCTGGGGACAAAGTTCAGTGTGAAGGCTCTGTACTCAATCCTCTATACTGCAAAAAGCAAACAAACACCTCCAAAACTTTGATCAGGTATCTATTTTCCCAAACGATCCCCAAAGTCTAATGATAGAATTGGAGTATTTAAATCAAAGGCTCTGATACATCGTACTTTAAAAAATTGTTACTCAAGTTTAATGACTAGGTCAAATCCCCTTATAAGAGATCCTGGCAGTTAAGATAGGTAGCAATTGAAATTTATAAATGATGTGCAAACTTTTACAAACAAACCATTTGATATTAGTAATGATTTTGGAAACTTACGTGTTCCTCCAATAGCACTCACTCAAATCAATTTCAATAATAATTCTCTGCTTTTGCACAGCTGTGGGGGGAGAGCAAATGTCCCCTGTTCATGCATTTGTTACAAAGTGTTCCTGACTTTCAAAAGCTTTAAAGTAAGTCTCCTTTTCTATCTAGTGAATCTATTTCTAGAGACTTACAGAAAACTGATTTGGGAACAATGTACACATGTATGTAGAAGGATGGTTTGTAATAACAACAAACATATAAATAAAATACAAAATTATATAAAACTGTATTTAGACATGGACAGATTTTCACTATGTGCAGATAAATTAAATAAACAGCTCACCAAACCAGGGGCAAGGTGGTCATCAAATGGTTTACACATCCTAAGTATTTTATTATGTGTCTTTTACTTTTCTAGGATTTCACCTGCATTGTAAGATGTAACACACACGAAGAAGTACATACTATTATTATTTCCACTGAATAGATTAGGAAAATTCAGGCACAGAGTGGTTAAGAATCTTGAGGAGCTACTAATCAGTGATAGAGGCAAGATTCAAATGCAGGCAGGGAGCCGAGTGGTCCCTAAACACCTAAACACTGAGTAACCACCTCATGTTTTTATACACTGCTATTTTTTATAGATACTATATTTGCACACATGGATATATATGTTTTTGCAGAAAAATATGGCTAACTAGGTTGTAGAACTGTGGGAGATTTTTCATTTGCTTTTCTTCCTGTATAGCTGAATTAAAAATTATTCCAAAATAAGCATGTATTACATCTCCAATAAAATATGAGAAAAAAATAGGGTCAGAAATATTTAATGAAAGTGACTAATTTTGTGACTTTTTTAACCCTTTAAAAAATTTTTAAAGAGGGGAACAAATACATTTAATCTGTAAAGGAAAGGGAAGGGAAGGGTTTTGATGATGAGTGAAACAGTTCTCAGCTCATTAGCACAATTCCTTTGACATTTTATGTTACTGTCTTATACTGTTAGTTAACATATCTGTACTTTTGCTTTTTCCACTAAATTTTAAGTTCTTTGGCATTCACTAAAAGGCCTAAAACACACTTGCACATGATGGGTAATAGATATGCTCTTAATTAATAGGTTCCTTAATTATTTATAAATGGGAATTGAATGGCTGACATCTCCAGAAGTCCAAGAATTGGTGCTTAAATTTAGAAGTCTCTGATCCACTTGCTAGAGCTGCAGGTCTCCTGGATCCCTTGGTGTGGCCTTGAAGACATGACATTGTCAGAAGAAAAGGCCCCGAGACTCATGTAGAAATTTTGGGTGAGAGTTTGGACCATAATAAGGGAAGAAAAGGTATTTTTAGGTAAAATTTTCTGAATGTAGCATGAACATAACTGTTAGCAGATGTTTTGTTGTGTAAATATCAATGTGCACCATCCACCTACTTACTCTTTATGAAATTTTCTTCATTTTCATCCTCAATACTTAATAAATCACCTCCTTGCATCTGGCATGAAGAATGTGCCTCATTCCAAGAGAGAAATGAAAGCAAGTTGAATTGGTAGCAAATGTGTGAATTGAGGTCCTTCTTCCAGACAGTGTCACAAGCTACCTTTGTAGAGGCTGGGAAGAAAGTCCATTAAAAATTTATTACCATCTTATTTTATTTATACAGCAATATATTTCTAAGATGTATTTGAATGGAATGACTCTAACTTTCTACCTCTAAAACTTCACTGCCTTATATATTCTTGATTAGATCTTTATGATGAAATCTGCATTGCTATTCCACTGACATTTTACAGATAAACTCTTTCAAGATGTATCTACGGAAACTCAAGAAATTATCAATAAAAAAGATCTGACACATTCAGGGAAATAATAGATATTAATTTAAGAGAAGTAAGTAGAAATGAAGTATTGGTGAAAATAACATTTTAGTTTAATAATAAGCATTCATTTAGAACTTTACATTGAACACTCAATTTAAATATTTATTTGAGATAGACACTAATGTTTCAAAAGACTTTTCTCTCCAAATACCAAACTGCTAAATGCAATAAAAGGATACATTAGATATATGATATGTGATCATAATATATGGCAAACGTTTAAACTTTAAAAAACTTATTACAGTAAAATACACATTGCCATCAACCCCCCTCAAAATATTTCCTCCCCCACTCCCAACACACTTATACCATCATTTTTACTACTTTTTTTTGAGGCAGGGTCTCATTTTATAGTGCAAGTTGGCCTTGACCTCACTGTGTACCCCAGGATGGCCTGGAACTCACAATAATCCTCCAGCCTCAGCCTCCTGAGTGGGATTAAAGGCCTGCACCATGATTCCTGGATCTTACCACTTTCTGATGCAGTTCTGGAAGTCCTCTTTTGTGAATGTCTTTACAAAATATGATAAAAATGGGGTGAATTCTGCTGCCAAGTTCTATCAAGTTGAAAGGCAGGCTTGGAAAAACTTTAGTGTCTTCTCAGTCAGTTTATTTACTGGATATGGTAACAAGTGACTTCTGAGTTTTCCTCAAAGTCAAAATGACCATGAAAGGTAAATGTCTGAAGTGATTGAGAACATCAAGGCATCTACAACAGCACAACTAAAGACACTGATAAAAAAGGAATTCAAGAATTGCTTCAGAAAGTGGCAAGAAGGATGGGGCAAGTATTTTTGAAGTGAGGGGGAATATTTTTTAGAGGGATTAAAAGCAATAAATTTAAACATTTAACATATTTTTCAATCACACCTCATCTAAGTCCATGTTCCATTGAACAGAAATAATTACTTAAAACAGGTCTTTTAGGTCACCATACCACCACTCCCAGCACAGAGGAGGAGGCTTCTGGGTCACCATAGCACTCCTCCTAGTGCAGAGGTGGTGAGCTGTGTTGGTGCCAGCAGCACACACCCAACCCCCCGTCAAAATGAGAACACAGGTAAACAATCCTCAAAACCAGTCTTCCAGATCACATAAACCAACCCAAAAGGCAAATGAGATGGAACACTCTGATACTCAAAAACCTGGACTCCCTGAATTGGCAACAAGAGGAACTCAAAAAATGAAATCATAAATCATTTCTCAGATAACAGCAGAGATTGTGTCCATAGTGCAAGATAAGATTAATAAGTCTAGAGAGGAAACAGATAAAAAATAGAGGAGCTGAGGAACATGATGGAATCCCAACATAGGAAACAAATAAAATCCATAAAACAGATGCAGACAGATTTCCAGGAGATTAAAAATTCCATTGAAAGTCTATGCAGCAGAATGAGCCAATGTGAGAATAGAGTTTCAGGTATAGAAGATAAGATTGCAAACAGTGACAAAGAAAAGAAAAATTTCCTTAAAATAGTAAAGGATCACAAGAAATCAATCCAGCAGCTTCTAGACGATGCAAAGAAGAATAATATAAGACTGACCAGAGTCAATGAAGAAACAGGAGAGAGTCCAGATGACATAAAAAAATTGTTCACAGAACTGATGGCAGAAATCTTCCCAAGCAGGGAATAAGAACTTGACGTACAGATAAGTGAGGCAGATAGGACTCCAACTAGCCATGATAAAAAAAATCTACACATAGGCATATAATTGTTAAGATTTGAGAAACCCAACAGAAGAACAAAATTCTACAAGCAGTGAGAGAAAAGAACCAAATCACATACAAAGGAAAGCCCATCAGAATCACAGCAGACTTCTCAA